CTAGGGCCTCGGGGATTGGTGGGTCTGCCCAGCTGAGAGGGCTACGCGCTTTGGCATTGGTCGGCAGTTTCGGCATGGCAGGGCATTGGTCCTTTTCATATTTGGTGGACTGCCGGGCCTTCCAGGGCCTCGTGGCGGCGACACGGCGCTGGCTTCGCCGGCGCGCGTACTGGCTGCGCGCGCCGGTCAAGATGGCGGCCTCCAGGCCTGTCAAAATCCTCCCGGGCACGTCCGCGGTCTCGGACGGAGAGGGCTCCGCCGCTGTCACACGGGACTTTTTCCTGCCCGTGTGACGGGACTGCACCTGGGCTGCATATATTGATGGCGATGGTGGTGGCTGGGCATCCATCCCACGGGCGACTCGATCTGATGTTCCTTCTGCCCATGCCATCCCTGCCTTCCGCTGCCTCGGCGACGTCGCCGCCCTCGCGGTCCATCCAGGGATGCTGTCCTCGTGGCAGGTCCACGACAGTGTCCTCGATGCGGGTGTTTGTTGTTGGTCCACGAGCCAGTGCCCTACGGGGAAGGGTGACAGGGAGGGAAGGGTGCAGGGAGGGGGTCTTAACTCTCAATACAACAAACCTAAAACACTAAATAAACGCATTTAACAATACTAACTATGGAACGCAATACTCGAGGCCTATGGGACCTTGAGCCAGGGGGCGGAGGGGAGTCTGCAGTAACATTTTTGTTACAGTATACAGGGTGTCCCACGCAACTGGAACAGGCTGTACCTCCTAAACGGTTGGGAATAGAAGATGATGTTGTGAGTGAAAGTTAAATGGCATCAGACGGTGCATAATATGCAACTATTTTTATGCACTTTTGTGTATCGGTGCATTAGAAAAATGCAACTGCACTTTTTTTTAAAATGGAAACCTATATTTTTGACTACACCAGTCGATGCAGTTTCTTATGGTCTATATAAAAGTACTGATATACTTATGCTCTAAACTTATGCGTTAGGGAGTTATCGAAGCTAAAAGTTCTCTGAATTGTTTTGGTCTCTCGGCATGTGTTCCGGAGTACCTACGTTATGTTCCATTACATTTGGCAAGAAATATAAAAAATTACGGAAAACGACATCAGGAATGCGTTGCGCAACGTCAAAAAGCGGATGGAAAAATGCTTGAATTGCAATGGAGAACCGTTCGAACACTTGTTATAACGTAAGCACTTAGAAAGACATGCCGAGAGACCAAAACAATTCAGAGAACTTTCAGCTTCGATAACTCCCTAACGCAGAAGTTTAGAGCATAAGTATGTTAGTACTTTTATGTAAAGCATAAGAAACTGCATCGACTGGTGTAGTAAAAAATATAGGTTTCCATTAAAAAAAAGAAAGTTCAGTTGCATTTTTCTAATGCACCGATACACAAAAGTGCATAAAATTAGTTGCATATCATGCACCGTCTGATGCCATTTAACTTTCACTCATAACATCATCTTCTATTCCCAACCGTTTAGGAGGTACAGCCTGTTCCAGTTGCGTGGGACACCCTGTATACGCATGCTATACATATCCAGAAGATTTTCACATCGTACAGCATGTATACATATATATTCATCTTTCGTATATATTACTAATCTTGATTAGTTGGCTGTTCGGAAGAAAATAAAGGAATGTAGTACTACCAACTTCTCATTCGGAATATTCTATCGTCCACTTTTTACGAGTCCTACTTCCATGTGGATTTTCACCGGAGAATGTACCAACCCATCTGACATCACAATAAAAGATTAAGAGTGGAGGGGAAGAAAGAGAGGAAAAAGGTAAGGAATCGATTCACTCGGGACACCAGTTCAGCTAGGATACTTTTGAACAAACTGAAAGTAATACATACCACCTCCTAATCTCGAAAGCTTCCAAGTCCGGAAGAAGGTTGGAGGAAGTGTAGAAAAGAAGATCGTAGCGCGAAGTAACAGTAGAGAGGATAGCAGGAAATAAGGAAGAACGGAGTAAGAAGGAAAACAAGAGTCTCTAAAGGATCCAAGTTCAGTGTCTGACATGTTATAAGATTTTTATAAATTTTCTGAAACAATGTTAGACATTCGAATCAAATCCAGCTGTCATTTGCTTTAAACTTCCGGGATTCATGAAAGATGCGCTTTCACGAAGTAAATTTAAATCAGGCGCAAATATTTAACGCAAACAATGGAGGTAACTCAATTTTCAAAATAAAACGTTAGTAGGTTGGACAAGCGAATTTGCACCCCAAATTCATCTGCCACTTCTACTTTCAACATTCTTTTTTCTTCGCAATTGCTAGAAAAAAGAAAAAGAAGGAAATAAAAAAAGTGAGAAGGACGAGCATAGCAGGACCATACAGCACGAACTGATCCCACTATCCAAGTATGACCGAAGAGTTTGAGTAAACTTCGAAAGTTTTGCACTGAACTAGTTCTCCGAATTCAAATTGCAAACCCTAGTGAAATAATCAAGGGTGGCTGCAGGGTGGATAACTCACAGCGGTATATAGTACCTCGTGAATTTTTCTAGCCATCAACTGCCAAAGTAGCTACTTAATAGTTTAGATGCAATAGAAAAATTTTCTTCGAATAGCCCATGGATGCTCTTTCTACTTTATGTATATTATAACGAAAGAAACATAGCTCAATAAATTTTTCATACAAATTTGATATACTTCAAATGGCGTAAAATCTGCAATAACTACTATGAGGGAAGGTCATAGCTTTTTCACGCTTCTAAATTCCAAAACGGTGGAAGTGTACTTACCGGACTCAAAGGAGTAAAAGACGTGTGCTAGTCAGCCACAAGTTCTGAAACTCTCGGAAATTCTATGCTTACGTCCGTAGGGGATAATTCCGATAGTTGCACTTCGTGCAGGATGCACTTCGCGGTTCTCGTGCGAGAACTAATTATCGATAAATTATCGTGGTCACACATGCGATATTATGAATGCACATATATATTCTAAGGACACGTATACTATGTGCAAATATAATCGCTCGTTGCGTATTTATCAAACTGAAACTAACGTGTCCGATTTTCAGTGAATTTAAATAATTTCGCCCAGAGCTGCAACCTACGTCAAAGTGATTTTTGCTCCATTAACCATAATATTGGCAATAATTATAATAATATAAAACCAATAACATAGGATAAGATATCTTATCAGTTAATAAATTATATTGAGTGATGTACTAATATTAAGCCCTTAGCGTGAAGCGTTATATGCTTCTAACATTCACAATTATCACACAAATTTCTATTTTATTGATTACCGAGTTCTTCCAGAGGCTCAATCCACATATAGGTCTCGTCAGGCCAACACTTGACCGACCTATGGTTGCTAATAATTGGCCATTTTTGAACCAATACCTTTTATGCCAATACAATAAGCATTTAATTTTTCACGGAAAGCAAGACTTTGCTCCTCGAAGCACTGTAAAAAGCAAAAGCTAATATTGATTCATTTTTATCGCGTATACATATAATAAAATACAAATATAATGGAAATAAATAGGAAATTGTTAAACAATCAGAATATGATATAAATAACAAATGCTGTGTTCAAAATTAGAATGAGCTTAATTTATTCGACTTTTTCCTATTTAGTTTAGGATTTTTCCAGATAATGCAGTATTAATCATTATAATTATTAATTAAAGTAACATTTACGAATTAGGCTGGTGAGTAGTGGGTAGAATGTTACACTCCTCATTCCTCCTTATGCCAGCAATAGCAGGTTTGAGTTCCACTTACACGTGTAACAACCGTGAGTACACACATTCTTCCCTTTTTGAATTTTATCTTAATCAATCACCGGTAAAAATAATATAAATTATTCATATTGCTGTAATATTTGCAGAAAATTTTTTCTGAGCATTCCATAACCATCACTGTGACAGCTGGATCAGTACTATTTGCTATGTCTGATCTGTCGTCGATTACTATTGCAGGGAACCCTAGATATCATCCAGCATTTTTCCATTGCTAAGTCAGTAATGATTGTCATTATCACGTTGTTATTTAAAGTGTTCCACCCAATAAGAACTCAAAGCTAGGCCAATTGTACAAAATCTATATGAGAAAGCCAGTGCTATATACAGTAACGTCCAGTTGAAGTGCAACACTTAAATTTTTTTACATATCTGTGAAAGTATGACAGATTTCAAAAAACCAAAGACACATTTTTTAGGAAATTTCCTTCCCGTTCGAATGGTAAAGGTTTCATCCCGATCGGATACAAAATGGCCGAATGGCAGGGGTTGGAGTGAAAAAGTGCATTTTGGAACTTTTGAAAAATTCGAGATCTAGTAGTTCCGGAAGGAAATTTATATTTCTAATTAGGGCCCGAGAGAGAGCATCCTTCAGCATTAAAAAAACACCCCCATTGAACCCCTGTATGATCACTCTAGGAGGAGTTACACCCCCTTGAAGTGAAAACACTTAAATGGCCATAACTTTCGAACGCGCCGGCCAATCTGGTCCAGTTTCTGCATAATATCATCTTTAATGATACTGCAGATTCTCACAAAGTTATTGTTCTCGGAGATGATCCCGTGACGCAGATATCGAGTAGTAGTATAAAGTAGATTTAATATCAGATTCTCGACACAAATATTCATCGAGTGTGTATAAGCGGGATGTATGTAAAAATAAAGGAGAGTCAGGCAAGGTTTGAAATTTTACTGCTCTAGTAATACGATCCTCGAGGGAGCCCAGTCATTACCAGTCGCTGCAAGACCGTTAAGATGTTCACCCCTGACGAATCTCAGGAGGAATTTGCGGGTTCTTGGGGTTGAAGGAGGGCAAGATAAGTTGAAGCTAAAGGGGTTGTAGAGAAAACTCCTGGGAAAATACGGGGAATCAGGTTTTGCCGGCTTCCTGTCGGAAAAGGGATCCCACCAGGTTGAAACTGCTTTTGCAGAGCAACTTCCCACTATCAGAAAAGAGTTTCCTCTTTGAAATGATTCGGCATCGATGTAACTTACAGCATGAAACAGAATTAAAGTAATTTGTGCTACAGGTAAAATACAGGATAGTACCTATTTTATTTTTCTTACCGATTTCCACAATTCAAACACTATTTACTACTCGTAACTATATTGTTAGTAGCAGGGTATTTCTTTTTCCCAACTGTCCGTTGTGACTATTTTCAGAAAGCTTTTTGTAAAATAGGATTTGTCATCCGTAACCGCAGATAACGTTGTCCTAGCGGATTCCCTGAAAGAATGCATTTTTCCCATATCAAGTACATCTCTGACAGAAAGGGCTCAGTGAAAAATATAAAAATGATATTTTGTGGCTTTCATGATACGTTTCATCTCCTCAAAGATTCACTTGCAAACCTGATTTCCAGCTTATTAACACTCAATTCACTGAGCGCACAGTTCAATATACTTGAATCATTATGCAATCCACATATTTCGTGCCGACGTACATACAATACAATATAAGCATGCCTGCAATACAGTACAAGAATAGCATACTATATCATGTCCTACATATTTGAGAAAATCTCGAATGCATCGATATTGCATCTCCCTCCTGGGACAGATAGTGCACTTGACAAAGTTTTCTTCGCATTTAAGCATACGAGGAACATAAGAAATATATAAACAAATTCGTGGCTGCTATTCTATTGTTGGATGGATTATGCAGGTATCTATTTACATACGTATACTGGAAGTGCGTATGCAAACTTCAATGAATCAGTTACAAGTTAAATATGAGATTGAAACTTTGTACGTTGCTATTCATCTCGGTACCTCTTAAGCTTATATCAAGCAAGTTTCCAAAAATAAATGAGAAAATTTGAAAACATAAAATACTGTTACTATCAATAAAAATCTTTGAAAGATGCTACAGCATTATTTTAAATGCATACATGTGAAGACTATTCATTTATTTGCCATTGGACATAATCAGTCCACGAGGTCGATGATTTTTTTTTGACAGATCGAAAACAATGAAGTTTCTAACAAGCTGCACGTAGCTCTATATAGAACTTTTATTACAAAGTATGAATGTGCATAGTTTGCATTGAAATACTTTTTTTTCTATTTAGGCAAGCAATTATGTGTTTTTATGGAACTCCACGTGTGATTTCTTAAAGATTGCATTGTTTCCCAACTGTCAAAAAAACACATTGAATTCGTAAACTGACTATATGTTCATGTGGTGGTACGTGACATATTATCACAAGAATCCTTCAAGAAAAGCAAGCTTATATGTATTCATTTGAAAGTCCATCGATTGCGTTCATGCACCTGTATAAAGTGATATATAGATTCGCAGACTGGAGCCCAAACGTGTAGTTAAACTTCATTTTGCAGCTGGCCAGACGGGTTCAACAGGTCTCCCAGCAGGTAAAGGTTGTAATTGCATAGACAAGAAATCATCTGGGACTGCTCGATGCTCAAGTAAAGCAATTTCACAACCCACACAATTATCCAGCTCGTGAACCCAGTGAAATTTCTCTAGAAATTTGAGCCTGTATATCTACCTACCTTGCACCTGACTAGGTATGTGTGTTCGTATACCTACTTGTCTTACAAGACTAGTAACTTTACTTGATAACTTTAACGCCAAGATGACCTATACGAACCTCATACGAGTCCTGCACATTGCATAGGATACTTCGAAGAGCCACAAATTGGCTTTGTTAAACTTGCGATCAGGGACCAATAATTTTGCTCGAATTACTTCTCCACTTTTACTTAGCCTCTATTAGTAGATTAGCACCGTAGTACCCAGCCAAACTGACAGAGTATCAAGGCATGTAGTAAAATTCTTATGCGAAAGCTTTTGGAAACGCTACTCCCATTACCGGCATGTGCCTTCAGAACTAGTTTCAAAAGTAATGAAGCATTATAATTGGCTCTCGAACTTTTCATTGGACCAAAGTAGTAATAGACGGACGCGAGTCAGACGTAAGATAGAGTAAGCGTAGATATATTATCGATCTACTCGTAGAAGAGAATTCGTATAATTATCTTCATCGAAAATCTTTTGAGGACTAAATTTTAACTTGAGTGAATATAGACAGTCTGACGGTTTTCTCATTAATTTTCAATGTTCGACTATCAGTCCGAATCCAGTAATTATGGACTATTGAAAAGGTAACGTAGATTATTCTCGTACCTGACATTTTCATATAACAATTTCTGTACCTGTTAGTCGATTAACGTTCACCACCTACTTTATACATTTGTTAATTAATTTCTTCTATTTTTCAAAAGACTAAACAGTTTCACTTGACTCACTTTCGCGTGCTTCGAAAGCTCTGCGATCGTTTGCTGGAGTATCAAACTGTTTTCGCTTTGTAAAAAAAGGAGTCACAGTACTGGTAGTTAGCGCTAAGCAATAACCAACGTAGTGGGAGAGCTGTTTAATTAATCTTAGTTTTCAACTTTCGAAGCTTTTTAATGTTTCGCTGCGGCTGAGTGGCCAGGAAGTTACGAACCGTCCCGCTAATGTACAATTAAGCTGAGCTTTCGCTCGTTCACAGCTCAACAAAAAGTTTTTTAAAATCATCAAAATTGCAAATAATTCTCACTCTATCGCAGATTTATATATATTCACCTGATTCAATGTTCAAGTTCTACGGCAAAACCGATTACTCCATCTTCAATATTCTTTTTATTTTACCCTTTTCACTACACTTTTACTTCCTTTGCTCAGACTATGCTACGTAACATTTAACACTAGATTTATGAAGCCCATCAATTGGACGGATTTAAAATTCTATGCTTAAATTTAAAACGTCGTTATTAGTTAAATTTCATGCAAAAATTGTTGTTAAATTCGTAAAAAAATTGTACGTATTTGAAATTCTTAATCATCAGTAAATAATATTATTTTGAAATCCGGAAAAGAATTATTCGTCTCAAAATGCAGTAGTCGAACTTTTTGATATCTTAAAGTGTTTACTTGACCACGGCTCTGCCCGTAAAGTAATATTGTCGAATATTAATTAACCAAAGTAATCGCGTCATAGTAATCAGACCTAATTGATCCATTTAAATCAAGCGATAGCTGTATAGCATGCGACTATTTTTAAGCCATAATTGGACCCTTGACGAAAATCATGAATAGGCAACTAGTCCCTGGAAAAAGTGTCTACATTAGTAAAGTGTATTTAATAAACCGCATACGTTTAGCTGGACTAAGCCAGTCATGGAAAGCGTGATGGTTCACGGGGTCGAACTATGTTGCAACATGTGTATGCACCAGAGCAAAAGAGACAGAAACTGAAAATGAGAAAGAAGGAAAGAGAACGGAATGGGAAAGTGAGAGGAAGAAAAAGAGAGAATAGGCTGAGCAACATGAGTAGCAACATGTAGAACACAAAGTGAAGATAGCCCAGTGCTTCAGAGCAGAGAATTATGGACCGCAGCACTGAACACAAATACACCTGTCCCACACAGTTTACTGGATTCCTGCCAACGAACCGAATTCAACGTGAGAGTTAATTTTTAATTTACTCGCGACGCTCGTTTAAACGGTAAAACAATAGTCAGTCATTTTAATGTCACAATGAGAGTGACATTGAGCAACATAATTTTGAACTGATAATAAAATGTTATTATTATTACTTGGAACCTTGTATGTACAATTACAACACTTACCTTGAACCAACAATCTGACTACTGCTTCCGGTATGTTTCTGTTGTTAACCAGACACTTGTACTCCCCGGTATCGGATGACTTCACTGGATCAAAGACGAGAGCGTAATTCGAAGGCGACAACGTTATGTGATTATGTGGATCGAATCCTGTTGTCGAGCTTGTTGAGTAGACGAGGATTCGATTATCATTGACTCGCCACTCTAACGTTGCCACCAGAGAATGCTCTGAGACTCCGGGACAAGCTAGGGATATGTTACTACCAGCTTCGGCGGTAACCGTGTGGACCGGTAGATTGGTGTCTTCTGAAACAAAAATTTCTTATCATTGGAATGCTGTAAGCATTCTTAGTTACCTAGAAAATGGTTACTAATGAATTTAGTAAACGCATCATTTTCACAATTTATCATCAGTGTGTAGCATTTTGGTACCACTCTAGTTATAATTTATTTATGTTCTAATGTACTCGCTTAATTATATAGGGCTCATTTTACTTTAATTTTTTATAGGTAGAGGTAAGGTACATCGTTCGGCATCTCCGTCGTCATAATAATATTAATAGATTTAAATTATAATAAAATTACTGAAATCGTGAAATATTATAAAGCTATAATGTAAAAAGATATTCGAAATATCACGGAATTTCGCAAATGATATAGTTAATCAAATTTATTCATATTTAATACGGAACTCAAAACAGTTCGATAAAGCAGATCGCTTTAACCGCAAAATATTTCGCTGGAAGGGACAAAGAAGTCCCATAAGAATTTTCCTCAAACATAAGATGTTTTTTGTGTGTATCATACATAAAGACAAATAAGGGATATGCTGCAGGTGCTAATGACTAATATAAAATACATATCACTCCTAGCATCCTTGGAATCATGAAAACTGTATATTGTTCAAATTTGAGTAGATCCTTCCTCAAAACCTATACATATAATAACGATCCATAAAATCCGTAAAATACAGTCGCTTCCGAACGGTTCAATGAACAGCTCGGCAAATACCCTCAGGCCCGTATCTAGAAGTTATTTTTACAGGGTTACTTCCATCGATAGGAACCTGCGGAATAGCAACGACCTCGTCCAATCCTCTGACTCGCAGCTTATGCACGTATGAATAAGAAAACGTGACACGAATTTTGAGTCTCCTAGAAAATCGCCTTGAAATCGGTTTTTCTTAAACCGATTTAACCTCTGTCCATCAAAAGAATAATTTTTAGGTCACTTGGAAGTCCAATTAAAGTCCATAGAAATATGATATTTTTAAATAAAATTATAATACCATTTTTTATTTAAAAAGTGGAGTTTTCTGAATTTCATTAAATGAGTCAAATTAGAAGATTCGATTCCAAGTTACTCCAGTATTCCGTTTGCTGTTATATGCTGACGTTTACGCAATTACGATTAATTACCATACAATTATCGTAAGTAAATTCTTATCATTGTAGTTTAGTTCTACCTCCCGGATTCTTAGTAAAGAAAAATAACGGAAATCTCCTGTTAGTCCAATGTAATTGGCATCGATCAGCGAGTTCGCAGGAAGAACAGCAGTGGAGAAATAAAAGTGCATTTCCCTCGCATGACAAACGCTCGTTAATCATTTAACGGTTTTATAGAATTAGTATGGCAGTAAAAGAATAAAGAAAGGTTGCAAGCGTAAAAAAAGATAAGAGGTACGGATCTCTCATGATTGATTAAAAATTAATTCTATAATGATTTTACGCTATTTTAGAAAATATAGATCCATCAATGAAATTTATAAATGTATTGTATAGAAATAATTAGTCAAAAATTTGTTAAGATAGATTTTGGTTATCTATTTGATCTTTAAGAAATATTTTTAATGTGTATTTCCCATGAAATAACTGTATAATGAAATTACGAGGGGGAGCAAAGCCAAGATATTAATTTTCTTCAGAACAGTAGTATGCTAATGCTTGACTACGTTTATGTTGTGTAATGGCCTACATTCCGTAGTCCCACCTATTTATATATAGCAAACCAGGCTAACCAGAATGGTTTTGTCATTATGTCCTCATGGTCTGTCTAATTAAATTGATCCAATGCATGACATGGCTCAAACCACTTGGCATTTCACTGCCTCATACGATTCGCTGGATTTTCCTGAAAATTAGGTTTACAGAATTCCATTGTATTAAGGGTAAATTTCAAAATTGGCTGAAAATCTGGTGAACCACTTAATACGTTCCCATATATAAAATTCAACGATGATCAAAATTGCATGAAGGGTACAAGGAGAACAGAGCATTAATACATTCTTTTGTAATCTGATTCAATATCTTGTAATTGCATGGTAAAAAAAAGTTATACCTTAAGATATTTTCTTCTCTCTTCTTCATTGACAAAAAGGAGTTCTCTTAATAGAAGTTAATTGTACTCCGGCACTTAACGTACAGGGAATAATCAATTCTAATGGGCAAACTTTCCTAGCAACTGGGTCGCACGGGAACTTTCGTGAAAACAAAGGACGAAACAATTAGGTGCGTGTCCTGCGGCGATAGAATATCTTCAGCTGCAGCGACGCTTGCAAAGTCCCTGCGGCACTTTGAAAAACTTGCGAGTTAAGTGTTGCAACCGCAATCTGCCGAAGTGTTTACCTCTATAGTCAATGGATTGTCCAAGCGACGTCGACCTCTATATTTCTACCATCGTTGCTAACCAAGCGCTCGGATGAAGCACGAAAAGCTTTCGTGTCACTAGAAGATTATAAAAGTTCAAATCGTAATTTATGCAAAAGCACGCGGAAACTTATCCTTCTTTTTATTATAGAAATTTTCATCAGTCTATTTCCAAGCTTTTCACAGCAGAGAGAATACACGTTGGCCGATCGTTCCCCCAATTCACAAATGTTTGCCCCACTGATTAAACTGCCAGCACCTTGTTTTCCCATGAAAGGCTGCTTGTCCTGCCTCTACTTGTATGGTACGTACTAGGTACAACGTACTTGTTGGTTTGGGCTTTGAGTGACCTACTGTCTAGTAGGTTAGATATTTTTATTACGAATATTGGTTCTATCCAGAATTGCGAGCCTTTCATTACTTTTCAACTTATCGTAGTTATTTATTTATTCCATAAATTATTTAATACTGATTTTTCATTTCAAATGCCTTGTCCCACTGATAATGAAATATCTAAAGGTTTTATGGAATACAAAAAGTAAATGGTTTTTCACGAAAAGTCATTTGAAAAATAGCATGAAAGAAATTAAATGATTAACGAGTAATAGAACAAAGTAATGGCCACGTTAGTTTCGCCGTTAATTTTATTTTCGTAGCCTTCTTTGTAATGAAATTTCGCAGAAAATATGTTTCTGTTTTCAATAAAATATTCATATGTTTGACAAAAAATTATAATATCAAATAACTTGCGGAACGAATAAAGTGATTTGAACAGTGATGGGAGGGTTGCACTTCTGGTCCTATCAGGCAAGATAAGCCATTCGAAAGGAATGCGTTTACATAGCATAAACTTCAAGTTTGCACAGTAGTAATTAAAAGCAATACCAAGTGTTAAAAGAGATTAGAAAGATCTCTATAATTAAACTGAGAATTAGCAACTGAAGAGATAGAAGAGTGGATTACGATATACAAAAGTGTATAAACGAAATATAGTTTTGAAAAGAGGAATACATACACGCAGGCGATGATACTGTCATAGGAAATTAAAGTATCGTTAATGTGGATTACGATAAGGGATGATATAATATGTATATAGATATGTAGGATGTAGTATAATATATAGGATTGAAAAATGCAATACCCTGCTACGTACACAACTGGAGCTCTATGTGGCAATACACGCAACGTAACGCGCGATAAATCCCTAGACAATTATTAATTCGCAGCGCACCTGCATAAATGCATACATAACTGCAGTTGGCCGGGTCGCAAAATGCACTGGCGATGTTAAATTTATACTTCCGGCAAATAAATACCTCGGGAATAATTCTGTTTGCCTAGGTACGGATCCTCATCCCTTTGCGACAACGTTAAACTCCCCTGGATACTTGGGAGAATTTTATTTCTGGTTTTGCACACTCTGCATTTGCCTGCTTCGGCTAACAATAAGAATTCCATAGGAGTCTCGGATAAAATTCATGTGTGCGAATACGTGTAATCTTCTTCCGTTTTCACAGAAAAAATATATACCCTAAGCAGACCAACGATACGTTCCTCCATTGTCAAAAAAAAATAAAGAAAACTTTCCATAGAGGTGAGTGTCTTCTTGGGGTGTGTTTTCAGAGGGGGGTGGTTTCTATTCAGTATGTCGTGGGGCGGTCAATGGTTTGGAAACGGATAAGACGAAATCACTGCGGTCCATTTTCAACCCTTAGTGGGCAAAGCCACCCTCTTCAGACAGAATTTCAGGAACGTATTATATACCGAAATGGGCACTACGAATGAATATCTAGAACTGCACGTAACTCTGGCAGATTTTGACGAAGCGAACGATATCTCCGCAAATCCACTTCAGTATTCCGATATAATCTATTCTAAGGTTCCCTAGATTTTTTGTTAACCATCCTTCTTATTCTACAGCTAATCTTGGTTGCCGTTATAGATTCTCTCTCTTTCTCTCTCTTTCTCGCCCCCTCTTGCAAACGAGTTTCCATAAGATTCTCGTGCATTTCTGTGGAAGTCGTTGACGGTTGTCTATTGAGTAGAATGAAAGAAATTTTTTAATATTTCTTCATATTTTTTTATTCAATAATTAAATCTGGTCAGATGTATCAAATTTCACCTGAACGATCAATTGCATTTTTCGAATTATTTATTCTCAAACTGGAAATGATTTTCTACGAATCACATCATTTTAAGTACAATTACGTTTCATTCAGTGTAAAGGCAATGAATCGTAATAAAAATAATATATAAACAAAAAAGTTTCTAACAAAACTTTATTCTTTCCACTTAGTTGGTCAGGCAATACTTACAAATGTTGATTTCATTTACTCATAACACTGCGGATAAACGAATGAATCAGGAACAGATACGAAATGCTTATCACGCATAATGATACTTGAAAAAAATACAAAGTACACGGCTCTGTCAAATGGTTTCGAAATATCTGCTGGTAGAACGGTGTGGGGAAAAGCGGATATACCTTTTTAGTAATGTCTGACTGAAATCGAAAATCCTTCTTGAAACCTATTAGAAGCTGCATAAACTTATTTTTTCTGTTTTAAGCATTACTCGAGTATGTATAGTAATTTTATACCTGATAATGTATACTTTGAAAGTTAAAATTTTCATATGTCGCTAATGTATTTTCTCTTACTA